AAAAAAAAAAAAAAAAAAAAAAATTTTCTTACAGATGGGAGAGGGCGTTGCTGGGGTTGTGGAGGAGGAAGTTGGCTCCTTAACCCTTTGCCGCACCTGCAGTTAGAAGCAGCTGGCTCTAGACCATGAGGGGCAGATTACTGGGTGTTATGGACTGAATTGTGTCCCCCCTACCCCCAAATATGTGTTGGAATCCTAACCCCTATACCTGTGGTTGTAATCCCATTTGGGAATAGGAGTTTCTTTGTTATGTTACTGAGGTCATATCAGTGTAGGATGTATCTTAAATCTAATGACTTTTGAGACATAAAAAGAGAAGATTGGATACAGAGAGAAGCAAGCACAAATGGGGGAAGATAGATGCCATGTGGACAAGGTAGGTTAACCAGTAAACGCGGTATGCACCAGTTTACAGTAAGCAAGGTACGCACGGGCTTAGTTGTGCTTACTTACTAATCTGTAGTGCACAATCTCACCTGGTTTTCACCACAACGAACCAGGTGAAATTGTGCACTACAGATTAGTAAGTAAGAACAATTAAGCCTGTGTGTACCTTGCTTATTGGGTAATCTGTCCCTGCATGTAGAGATCACCAAAGAACTGAGGAACAGAAGCTGAAAGAGACACAGATCTTTTTCCTGAGCTGACAAATGGAGAGAGAGCCCTCCCCAAGAGCCAGTGCCCTGAATTCGAACCTCTAGCCTCCTAAACTATGAGAAACTACATATCTGTTCTTTATAATCACCCACTTGTGGTATTTCTGATACAGCAGCTCGAGAGAACTAAGACTGGGACTGGGATTCCATGCTTCTTCTTCCTCCACTTTTCTCCTCGACCCTGTCTAGTAACCCAGGAAGGAGGCCACATGGCCTTGTACTCACAGACAGTCCTCCCCAGAACAGGTACGCTGAGGCTCCATTCAGAAAGATTGGCTGATACAGGAGAGGATTGATCCCAGCAAAGATGTGCGTCAGGCCGATGAGGATCTGAATGGCCTGCCAAGGAGAACAAGTCGCAGTGAGAGAGCTGGGGCAGCGGGGGGCCTGCGGGCTCCTGAGCCGTGCTGCTCAGGCCTGACTGCACCCCAGAATCACCCGGGCTCACCCTAGACCAACTAGATCAATATCTCTAGGTCCGTGCCTAGGTCTTTTTAAAAGCTCCATGGGGGTGCTAATGTGCAACCGGGTTGAGAACCACAGGCGTAAAGGAAAGGTGGGATTGTTTGGAACAGAGGAAAAAACATCTTTCCTTCAGACTGATCCCCCAGCTTGCAGAGAATTAGCTCAAGCCTGGCCTTTAGCAGCAAACCAAAGGCTTGAGTCCTGGCTCTGGGCCCTGGCTGGCTCTGTGGCTGGGACAAACACTGACCCTCTCCATGTCCAGGTTTTCTTATTTGTAAAATGAGGTAATACTATCTAGCTTGCATGGTTGTTGGAGAGATTAGAAGAAATGCACATAAAGCTTGAAGGCTGGTGCCCGGCATGCAGTAGGTGTTCAATGCCCTCCGACCACATCTTGCCCCATACTCTACATCCTCTTTTCTGCCTTTCCTACCATGTGCCTGCAATTTCCCTTTGCAAAGGACACTCTGGGAGGTCCTCTGTCCCCCACCGAGCCCTGTATTCTTCCTCCTCTGTGCTTTTGTCCACTGGTATCTCTGTCTGAAATTTCTTTCCTTCACCCTCATCCCACTGAAACCCTGTCTATTGAGGACCAGCTGAGTCTGGGCCCCCATTCAAGATGAACCCCCTTCTATGAGGGGCTTCTACAACCTCTTATCCCTGAGGCCATGGGGTTAGCATTTGACTTGTCTGGGCTGCAGTGTCCTCAGGGGTCAAATGAGCAGGGCTGAGCAGACACTTCCAGCTCTCCTGGTCCTTGAGTCTTATGATGGACCCAGAGTTCACAGAGTATGTCCTTTCATAAGATAATGAGCTTGATTTTGTCTGCACGCCCACTTTATCTATATCTTAGGATGCAGATGTAGCTCCCTGCTTCCTCCCAAATGAAACTTTAATTACTCAAGACGGTCCATGTTTTCAGTTTTTCAGTGTGTTTGATGAGGTTCCTTGGTGTGACAGTTTGCGCTCCACTGCTAACCTAAAGAAAGGTTGGCAGTTTGAACCCACCCAGTGACACTGCAAAAGAAAGGCCTGGCAATCTGCTTCCATAAAGATCACAGCCAAGAAGACCCTATGGAGTAGTTCTACTCTGTAACACACGAGGTCTCCATGAATTGGAATTGACTTGATAGCAACTTTTTTTTTTTTTTTTACTGTGTTTGATGAGGTTCCTCACACATTTGCTCTGAGTTAAAATAATTTTTGTTTTGAGAAGTTTTCAAATTCTTCCAAAATACCTTAAAATAATTGGGAGCCAAAGTGAATAAGCACTTACCCAGTGTTAATTAATACTAAGGGGAGGGATCATAATACAAAATTGCAATTATTTATGATATTATATAACAGCTTTACCTACTGAAGGCTTTCCATGCATATTTATAACCTCACTTGATGCTCAGGTCTAGGATTTCTATTCCTGATACTGTTTTATGGAATTTAGCCCAAGATTTGGTTTTGAAAAGTTAGGGATGCTAACAATGCCTTGTTCTTGGTACAAACCACTTGTCTGTTCTTCATATTTAAAGGATCAGACCAGGAAGGATGGTGGGGCTGTCTGTGAGCCTGTCCCATCCTGAGCCTGTCCCTGTCCCCCAGTTTGGGCCCCATGACAATTTCTGCCTATGTCTTATGGCAACTGTCAGAAAGTATCCTAATTAACACAACCCAAAAAACAAAGCCAAACCCACTGCCGTCGAGTCAATTCTGACTCATAGTGACCTCACAGAGTTTCCAGGGCTGTAAATCTTTACAAAGGCAGACTGCCACATCTTTTCTCCCACAGAGCCGCTGGTGGTTTCGAACTGCTGACATTTCAGTTAGCAACAAAGAGCTTAACCACTGCGCCACCAGGGGTCCTTAGCATCTTGATAGACCGTCTCATCCTAAGGATGATGATATTGAGGGGGGTGTGCCTGAGGTCACAGCAAACCCAGCTGGCCCTGAAACCTGCATCACTGGGCTTCCCAGCCAATGGTCTTTTTAGTGAAGTGTTGCTGACCCCTGCTGTACGGCCTCTCCCAAAAGACCATGGACTGGGAGGAAGGCAAGGGAGGGGCTGGCCTCAGAACGGTTGTCTGAGTCCAGCCTCTAGAAACCGCCACCCTCCCTTTTGTCCTCGAAATCCATTCCTTTCCTCATCCAAGAGGACTCTAGGTGGGCTTAGAAGTGGCCCAAACAGGAGAGAAAAGGAAATCACACTCACCCCCAGTGTCCTGACCTCCTCATTTATGAATTTCTTGGGATCAAATGTGGAGAATGATCCAAATGACATGTTCCACTGGAACTGGTTTGAGGTGTTCATAGGCCCAGGGATGAAGTTTGGAGGATTGTGAGAGACCTGGGGCAGGGTCTGGGGATCCGTCCTTCTTGGCAAGTTCTGGACCACTGCGGGTGAAATCTGCAAACCTGCAGTTCCCGCTGGATACTGGTGCACCAGGAGTTGACTCTGTGCACCTGTCACTCCTGCTGGGTTCTGGTGCACCATGAGAGGGTTCTGTAAGTTCGCTCTTTCCGCGTCACACTGGACCACTTTTGATGAGGTTGGGTAAGTGGTCACCACCGAAGGCTGCGCATGGATTCCAGAAGCCAAAGTGTACCTGGGCTGGATGACGTGGACATTATCTGGGGCAGTAACACCAGGTACACTCCTGGCTCCAACCTTCAGCGTGGTCATGGTGTACAACTGCTGCAAAACATGTAAGAAATGAATAATCCATTTCACCCCACTCTTACTTAACTTCATCTTCATTTAAAATAAAAATCATCCAGCATCATGACATTATGCGGTATAAGCTTCTTGCCTTCCTTGAAGTCCACATTTTTGGGACATGTTGTTTTCTTTTTATGGATTTGAATATGCAAGACTAGCCTTGTCTGAGGCTGCCTTAGCTCCTTGTAGAAGCTCTGTTTACAATTTGGTTAGTGGCTTTGTTTAGGGCTCTGTGGTCGATATTTCAGTCAATCTGCCTGCCTTGAGTCCTCTGAGTGGGCAGAGGTCACATCCCACCTTCTGCCCTGGTCTCAGCTGATTGATCTGGTGGTGGACAGCTGACCTCAACCGGGCAGACATCTTCTTTCTCCTGGAAATTTGGAACTGTGAACCAAAGCCTTATGGGTCGGGCGGCTATGTAGGCTAGGTCATGTGTAGGTGGAGTAAAGAAAATCAGTCAACAGAGGGAGAAGAATGAAGCTGACATGGGTGGGGGAAGAAGGGAGAAGAAGAAGGAGGAGGAGGAGGAGAAGGAAAAGAAGAAGAAATAAACTCAAAAGCAAGACAGCGTCAGGGTTAATGGCTCAGACAGCGCTGGGTTCATTTCTGGGTTCTTCCATTTACTCGTTGCATGCCCTTGAGCAAGTCGCATAAGCTCTCTAGGTCTCAGTTTCCTTATCTATAAAAACCAGTTGCTGTTTAGTCGTTTCCAACTGATGGCGACTCTGTGTGTGTCAGAGTAGAACTGTGCTCTGTAGGATTTTCAATGGCTGATTTTTTGGAAGTAGATCCCCAGGATCTTCTTCTGAGGTGGCTCCGGGTGGACTTTTGGTTAGCAGCCAAGAATGTTAACTGCTTGCACCACCCAGGGATTCCTTCCTTATCTATAAAAGGTGGGTAATAATACTACCTTCCCCAAAGGGTGTTATGAAGATTAAGCAAGATTAATGGACAGAAGGCTTCTGGCACAGAGCCTAGCCCAGAGGAAATACTCAATGTTTATTGTTTGTTGAAGGGTAGAGACCATCTATGAGAAAAGGGCCATTATTCTGAACATTTTTGCCAGCTAATCCCAAACTCGTTTGTTTCCAATTCTTCCAGCAGTGTTTCTCTAAGTGTCCTCTCTGGACCTGCAGCATCAGTATCACTGGGCAACTTGTTACAAATGCAAATTTTCGGTCCCCTTCCCAGACCTACAGAATCAGAAACTCTGGGGGTGGGGACCAGTGATGTGTGTTTGAACAAACTCGCCAAGTGATTCCGATGCTGCTAAAATTTGAAAACCACTGCCCTACAGAAAAGCCCTAAGCTTCTCTTTGATAGTTGCAGTTTTCCTTTCTTGGATCCCAAAGGTTAAAAATATGGGCTATATAGAACCTCAGTGGAGCTCTGGTGGCACAGAGGTTAAAAGCTTGGCTGCTAACCACAAGGTCTGCATTTCGAACCCACCAGCCACTCCTAGGGAGAAAGATGTGTCAGTCTGCTTCCATAAAGATTTACAGCCTTGGAAACCCTATGGGGCAGTTCTACTCTGCCCTATAGGGTAGCTGTGAGTCGGAATCTACTCCATGGCAACAGGTTTTTTTGGGATAGAACCTCAGGAAATTCTTAGATTTTTCTATATTCTTTAAAAAAATTTTTTGTTGTTGTTGAAAGTATACAGAGCAAAACACACATCAATTCAACAATTTCTACATGCACAATTCAGTGACACTGATTCCATTCTTCAGGTTGTGCAACCAGTCTTGCCCTCCTTTTCCAGATTGTCCTTCCCTCATTACAATGAACTCATTGCCCCCTAAGCTTCCTACCTGACCTTTCTGGTTCCTGTTGTGTAAGTCCCCTTCCAACTCTCCTCTCCCATAATAACGACTGTCATGGGCCTGTCAGCTGACAACTAAGGCTGTTCACCCACGTGCCTCACTCATTTTAATCGTACCAACATCCCTGCAAAGCAGGAGACTGAGGCTCCGTAGGTGGAATGCCTTGCCCATATTTATGCAGCTCCTGGTAGTAGACCTGGGACTCAGATTTATTTTTCTGGGCTCATCTGACGATGTTTTCATATCTCAAAAGGACTGTTCTGTCCACTAGGCAACATGTGGAAGGCAGAATGCTCAGCAGGGTAAACTAAGGCTGTGGCCAGCAGTATGTGCCCCTTCTGCCCTAGACCTTGAGCTCATTTCTTGCTTTCCCAGACACATAGCAGTTTCCCGATGAGGATGCTTTACAGAAGCTGTGGATATTTTTGCCTTACAGCTGTGTACGCATAAGGCAATTCCTCCAGCCATATACTGTTGTTATGACCATTTCACAGATGAAGTAACCGAGGTTAAGAAAGTTTAAGTAACTTGACCAGAGTCACGCAGCTAGGAAATACTGAAGCTGAGGTTTGAAACCAGGTCTGTCTGCCGTCAACATACGTAATGAATACTGTGCTGAATATTATACAGTGAAACCTGTGAGAGCCGGAACTCGACGGGGCTGCCTTGTTTTTCTGGGTCTTGCAAGTTTTCTGTCTTTGAAAGGGTGCAGTCACCAGTTTTCTACTGCTCTCTATTTAGTGGAAAATATTTGAGTTTTCCTTTTCTGATAGGTTTTCACCTTACACAGGTTCTGACTTTTGAAGGTTCACCTTCCTCTTCCAGAGGAGTCCCTGGGTGGTGCAAATGATTAAGCGCTCAGGTGCTAACTGAAAGATTGGAGGTTCGAATTCACCCAGAGACACCTCTAGAGAAAGGTCTAATGATCTACTTCATAGCCATTGAAAACCCTATGGGGTGGAGTTCTACTCTGACACACATGGGGTCACCATGAATTGGAGTTGCCTTGTTTCTTTCTTGTATGTGTGAAAAACAACACAGCTGTGGACCTGACAACTGACACGGCAGCTGGACCCTGTGATGGGCAGTCCTGAGACCCCTTCACCTCTGTCTCATTTCAGGAGCAAGGGGAAGTGACAGGTGGTCAGAAGCCTTTCCACCAGCTCTAGATGGAGGTCTTAAATCAACCTGGTCACAACACACCTGTGGTGGACTCAGGGAGAGGGTAAGTCCAAAGATGCCCTGCAGGAGGTTTCCAGCCTTCTATCTTAAAAACACCATGTTCAAAGGCAGAGATATGAACTAGGTTCTAGAAACTGTCTAACAATCTGCCTCTTTAGTTACCTCCCAGCTGGCCAAACCCTGTCCTGCTGGAATGCACTAGTCTATTCCAAATGCTTTTATAAAAAGGTCAGAGAAGTCTTACCGTGTAGTCCTGCAGAGTCTTTGTTCCTTCTTCAGGCTCTGTAGGTCTCTGCAGCCTGGTCTAGCAATTCTGAATGAAATAAGAAAAATTTGGTTTCTCTTTGAAGCTTCGAAGTCCTCTTAGCAGTTTCCTATTTGTCAAAAGAGGAGTGCATTGTTTGACTTCAAAGTCAAGACACTTTGCCTATTAGAGTGTTGATAACCTTGGCTGAAATGGAACTCCCTCCAAAGTCCTTTTTTTGAGGAAGTGAGAAATACAAAGGCGAGTCTGTTAGGACTTTGTGAGTCAACACATTACACTGAGTAAGCAATAAACGAGTATTTATAGCATGTCTACTGTATGCCAGATGGTATGTGTCTTAGGCTGGGTTCTCTAGAGAAGAAAAACCAGTAAAGCGTATAAGTATATATATGTTGTTGTTGTTATTAGGTGCCGTCAAGTCAGTTCTGACTCATAGCGACCCTATGTACAACAGAAAGAAACACTGCCTGGTCCTCTGCATGCCCACAATCGTTGTTATGCTTCAATCCATTGTTGCAGCCACAGTGTCAATCCATCTTGATGAGGGTCTTCCTCTTTTTCAATGATATTCTACTTTGCCAAGCATGATGTCCTTCTCCAGGGACTGATCCCTTCTGACAACATGTCCAAAGTATGTAAGATGTAGTCTTGCCATCCTTGCTTCTAAGGAGCATTCTGGTTGTACTTCTTCCAAGACAGATTTGTTCATTCTTTTTGCAGTCCATGATATATTCAATATTCTTCTCCAACATCATAATTCAAAGGCATTAATTCTTCTTTGGTCTTCCTTATTCATTGTCCAGCTTTCGCATGCATATGATGCGATTGAAAATACCATGGCTTGGGTCAGGTGTACCTTAGTCCAATGCAGTGCATCTTTTGATTTCCTGACTGCTGCTTCCGTGAGTGTTGATTGTGGATCCAAGTAAAATGAAATCCTTGACAACTTCAATCTTTCTTCCATTTATCATGGCATTGTGAGGATTTTTGTTTTCTTTAAGTTGAGGTGTAATCCATACTGAAGGCTGTGGTCTTTGATCTTCATCAGTAAGTGCTTCAAGTCCTCTTCACTTTCAGCAACCAAGTTTGTGTTATCTGCATAATGCAGGTTGTTACTGAGTCTTCCTCTAATCCTGTTGCCCTGTTCTTCTTCATATAGTCTATCTTCTTGGATTATTTGCTTAGCATACAGACTGAATAGGTATGGTGAAAGGATACAACTCTGATGCACACCTTTCCTGACTTTAAACCATGCAGTATCCCCTTGTTCTGTGCAAACAACTGCCTCTTGATCTATGTACAGGTTCCTCATGAGCACAATGAAGTGTTCTGGAATTCCCATTCTTCTCAGTGTTATCCATAATTTGTTATTATTGGCATAGTCGAATACCTTTGCATAGTCAATAAAACACAGGTAAACATCTTTCTGGTATTCTCTGCTTTCAGCCAGGATCCATCTGACATCAGCAACAATATCCCTGGTTCCATGTCCTCTTCTGAATCCAGCCTGAATTTCCAGCAGTTCCCTGTTGATATACTGCTGCAGCTGCTTTTGAATGATCTTCAGCAAAATTTTACTTGCATGTGATATTAATGATATTGTTCGATAATTTCTGCATTTGGTTGGATCACCTTTCTTGGGAATAGGCATAAATATGGATCTCTTCCAGTTGGTTGGCCAGGTAGCTGTCTTCCAAATTTCTTGGCATAGACGAGTGAGCACTTCCAGTGCTGCATCCATTTGTTGAAACATCTCAGTTGATATTCCATTAATTCCTGGAGGCTTGTT